GAATATGTGAGGCGTGCAGACAAAATGAGTTACTTCTCACAATCCACAAATGGAGATATTGGCCAAAAATTGACACTAAGGTCAAATTTGTTGATTTTCTGTTGATATTGTAATCTTTAAATGTAACAAGCCTTTTATTATTTTATACTTATAAATTGTGAACACTTCACCTATGTAAGTGTGACTTATCTATTTCCTTTGGGCTCAAATCGGAGAAGTTTTTTTGGCAGCACGCTTCACATGTATTTCAAATTGTTGACAGGGAAGTATAACACCTTGAGAAAATGTCATGTTGTATACTTTTTAAAAAATTGGTCGAGCTTTTGCACTGTGCTGTTCTAATAAACTCATGAATGTATTTTTGTAGGTCACGAAGACTGACCCTGTTTACAAGTACTTGGAAACGCGAAATATGTAGATTTTTAACCTCATCTCATAGGTTCGTAAAGTTTGTGGGGGTTTTTTGTACTCCTGGTCGTTTTTTAGTCAAGTCTTGTGAATGTATGCCAATTTGTACCCTAACAGGGGTGATATTATTATTACAATAAAAGTATTGTTCAAAACTTTTTTCATGCACGGCTTTGAAAAGAACTGTTAGTTTGGGTGGTTGGCAGGTGGTCTGATGTGGTTTGCTCCTTTTTTCCTATCAAACATCTATCGTCCGTATCTCTCCTCCTTTTTTGTGTTGGTTACTTTCTTGTTGCATCTCTAATCTTCTGTGGGTGGTTGGCGTGTGCTCTGGTGTGGTTTGCTCCTTCTTTCCTAGCAAACATCTATCGTCTTTATCACCCCTCCTTCTTTTTTATGTTTGTTCTCCCATGTAACACTTCTAATCTTCTGGCGCTCGTATGACCTTATGCAGTTGCGAGTGCCGTAAAATCTCTACTAAAACAAATCTAACCTGGAGCATTTGTATGACATTGTGTTGGCGGCAGTGCAGTAAATTTATTCAGTGTTTAAATCCATTGGCCCTCATCACATCACATAGAACTTTCATTTGATAAGTAAAGTTTCCATATAATGAATAAGTACAGGTTGTGCTCATATCTTTTATCATGGTTCAAACATTGCATATTTCTGTCACTGGGCCGAGTCAGGCTGGGAGGGAAATTCATCTTCAATTTCATGAGTTATACACCTCTCGCACAAGGGCGAATTAGTTAATTTCCACCGACAGAGATTATTTAATGGAAGGCTATGGGTTTTTAACAAAGCTATGATGACTCTTCTGCTCCAATACTGTTGGAGGTTGGTGATATATTCAGCTGTTTCTTGATATGGAATTGTAAGGCCTCAAACACAGTGCACGCTTCTCCAACGCTTCTTTTTCGGTTGCGACGTCTTTCTCCGAAAAAGCTGCATCGCCAAATTTTATTAACGAAGGATTGAATGCACGGCGCTACAGTGGGCGCGGAGCAGACGCAGCGCTGGATGGAGTAGAAAAAGTTCTCCGCGTGCACTTGCTGCTGAAATAAAATTTCGAGCGTCTGCTGCGCGGCTAAACTGTTGTGGCGTGATAGTGTAGTGCGTGTAGGGTGTAGTCATAGTGAATTGACGCATTTTGACTACAATGGAATCGGAGGCATTAATACACCCATTTGAAAAAAAGAAGTCTTTATGACAAAGCAGATCAAAACTACTGCAACAGGGCCATGACATCGGCCGAAAGGAAGAAAGTTACCAACAAAGTTGGATGCAATGGTGAGAACTTTCTTTCTTTCTTTCTTTCTGTTTGTCTGAACATATGTACACTGCACAACATGTATACTTGTTTCAAACTATAGGTCTACTTTAGCTTATTAAAAGAGATGCAAAGATAACCCTTTTTAAATGAGAGTGTGGACTGATCAGACGTTATAGCATTTGCTGTTTTGCCATGGCAATGCACCTTGCGGTGACGAGAAATATCCCATGAAAGCATTTCTCACTTCCATTCCACTTTTGGTAGCTCTGCTCCTTATAACTTCTTGTCTGTCGAACGTTGGTAGGCCTGCTCGTGGCTCAACCACGTCATCCTCAATGTGCCGTAGCACCGATCTTCCAGGTTCTTGCATGATAATGAAATTGTGGAGCACTGTGATGGCCTTGACTGCATCTGTTGCCGACTCTGGCTGTTCATCCATTTGGCGCAGGAGTATATGCCACATTTGCGAAATCCTACCAAAAGAGCATTCAACTGAATTCCTCGCGCGTGATAGGCGATAATTGAAAAGCTTTCTCATGAGTTCATTGTCTGTTTGGAAATGGCTTCATCAAATTCCCTCCCAATGGAAATGCATCCTCTGCTACGAATGCAAATGGGAGGGTTGTGTCACTGTCTGTATCCTGTGGTAAATCCAGCTTGTCAGCAAGCAGTCTTTTTCCAAATTCAAACGCTCTCTTTGCTGACAGAGGTTTCCGGAAATTGGTAGTTCGCTTCTCTATGTAGGTTCTAATTTTGTCCAACAAGAGCTGAAATGTGGAGGGTCTCATCCGGATGTATTTCAAGCATTTTTCTTCGTCTGAAAGGATTTCTGCCTTCAGGTGATGGTATTCACCATATGTGTCTCTCTTTTTATTGATTCTATGTACCCAATATCTACGGTGGGACCGTCTCCTGTTATGGAGCCATGAAAGCATCAACAATTGAAGAACCTCTTTAGCCATCCTCATTGACTGACACGTGGCCGAATGAACCGACTGAACCGAAAGACGCAGCCACTGTGTTTGCTAGAAAAGAAGTCGGAACAGGCGCGGCGAGTAACTTTAAAGTGCATCGATGCAGCTGCTTCCACTGTGTCCGCGCACTAAGAGAGAAAAGATTATACTTTCCACAGACTTCTTCCTCTATGTTCTGCACAGAATGATCGAAAAGTCTACTTTTCACTTCACTGAGTCTTCCAACATTTTGAGAAAACAAGGCATATCCGAAACCCAGGGAAAATAAGTTTTTAACTTCCGTAGCCCAGTTGACTCTTGCAATGCAGTAAATCTCTTAGTGAAGGTAAAATATAAAAAAAGTTGATGGTTTTGAGATTCTGTAAAGGCATTCAGTGATTTTAGTCCCAGTTTTGAAAGGGGTCTCTGGCCGCATTGTTTATTATTTGTAACATATTTATATCAAGGTAAGACCCCACTGTAAACAAGTTTCCATTCACAATCAGTGCGCACTGATTCCACAATGATTTGACTATAGATTTTTTTTGGTTTATCAATGTCATGCACATACTGTGTCGGAATAACATAGGGGAAACTACTGCTTTTTCTTTCCTCATCCTTGCTATTGTCATTTTCCCTCTACTTCTTTTGTAAATGGGCTGATTCATCATGTCACGCTCATAACTGTGCCTGATCTGCAACAGGGAACTGCTGCTTTTTCTTTCCTAATCCTTACTACTGTCATTTTTCCTCTACTTCTTTTGTATGTTTGAATTGTTTGTCAAACTCTTGTGACCCCCTATTTCCGGGGTGCCTTGATAGTCGGAGCAGACCTTGTGCTGTTGAAACCACAGAGGTGAGCAGTGTAAGTCTGATTCCCTGTAAGGACTTCTCTGTTGACACCCACCCCGTAGCGCCCATATGACCTTATGCAGTTGCGAGTGCCGTAAAACCCTCTACTAAAAAAACAAAACAAAACAAAAACAAAAAAACCCTTACAAAAACATATTCTTTTGAGTCCGTTCATCGAACAGGTACCCAGCTAGTTATTTACATATATCAAGGGAGCTGGCTGTTTCGCTACACCAGGGCTTGCCAACCTGGGCGATCTAGTGATTTCTTGCCATGAGCGGGGAGGATCACTTGTGTGTGAGCCTGGAGAAAGGTCCCAGTTGTTGAAAATTTTGGATATATATATATTGAAGTAAGGCATATTCTTGTGGTAAATTAAATGCTGAACACGCTGATTTTGTAATTTTTCAAATACATCTTGAATATCTGTCATAGATATGCCACGTTTTGTAGCTCAGGGTGTTAAAGCAGTTTGGAGAAAACACCAATTTCTAACACTTTTTTAACCTTTAACTTTAATCACGCACATGTTACAAAAAATAACTTATAAAAATATTAAGACAGATCTTATGTAAAAAAATCGTTTCAATGTTATTAAGAAATTAAATCGTTAAACTTTTTGTTTTCTGATGGAACAAAATTTTGACTTGGTACAACTATTTTTAAACCTTTTCACCAGTTTGCTAAAAAAACCCAACTTTGCCAACAATTGGGACCAGGCACATAAACGCTTGGACTTGGTAGTGACGGGACGTTTTTTTAATGCCCTGCTGGGAAGTGCATGCAGGTGGGCTCTTGAAGAAAGGTATTGAAACTTTTACAATATCACAGACACATAAAGTATGATAAAGGGCGCCACCATCAGCTCAGTTGGTATCCTGCTGAAGCGGATGACCCAGCCCCCCCCCCTCTCCCTCCACCAGGGCAGTGCTACTGAATGGAGTTGTCTTTAGCCCATTCCCAAGGGGGGGGGGTATTAACATGTTCTTACGCACAGTAGGCCTAGAATTGTAAATTGGCTGATTTATCAATGTCACGCTCATACCGTGTCGGAACAACATAAAGGGAACTGCTGCTTTTTCTTTCCTCATCCTTACTATCGTCATTTTCCCTCTACTTCTTTTGTTTGTCACTCTCTTCTGAACTGTTATTTCCGGGCTGCCTTGACAGTCGAAGCAAACTTTTTTGCTGTTGAAGCCAGAGAGGTAAACAAAGTAAGCCTGATACCCCGTATGGATTTCTCTGTTGACTGTTGACATCAACCCCTTGGCGCTCACATGCAGTTGCGAGCGCTGAAAAACCTTATAAAAAACCCCCCAACAACATAACCTAGGTTCAAATCCTCAATGGCATGTCCTAACTTGGGTTGTTTTTAAAGACTCCTTTCCACACCTTTGGTTCGGTCTTATCCTATTGTAGATGGACATTAAATTCGGAGGTCTTTCCCTTTAAATAACCTAATAGGTTGAAAGTGAAAGGAGTGTTAAATCAATACATTCACAAAGACAAGCACATGAGTCAAACATCGTAACACAATCTACTATTAAGCTTACTTTTAAATCAAAGCTTGTGACTGCTTATGGAGTGGCCCGATAGGGGCGAACAGGCTATTTATGTGGCAATGGAACGGTTTTGAAGGTTAGGCATAGACTATCGTTCATTGGTGATTATGAACGTCTTTTTTTAATTTATGAGGTTCACGTCTATGGGTGAATTTGACTGCGACAATGTTTCAAAATTAGGAAGGGAAGCAGTGATTATTTGATTATATAGACGCTTTGCCTCTGAGGACAGGGTAGGCCTAGCCTACATGATTTTATAGATCTACGATTTTGAACATAATAGCATAGCTTGCTTATAACTATAATTAATAAGGAAAATGTTAGGTAAATAGATCTGTATACATGTAGTTGACTCAACTTTATTTAAAAAACAAAACAACAGATTTAAGTGGGTGGTTGGCGGGTGCTCTAGTGTGGTTTGCTTCTTCTTTCCTATCAGTATCAAATATCTATCGTCTTTATCTCCCCTCCTTCTTTTTTTTTTTTTTGTTTTTGTTTATTACTTTCTTGTAACACCTCTAATCTTCGGCACTTATAGATTTCTCTATGACCTTATTGTGGTGCAAATGCCGTAAAACTCTTTAGAAATATTCTAAAAAAGATTAAAATTATTTTGCGTGTTTGTGTGAAGGACATTATTTTGTGAACAATGCTTTTTGCCTCTTTCATGGGGTACATCCGCTATTCCCCATTCTACGAACTTCCGGTATATTTTACTAAGGAATTGTTGGAAAAATCTTTGAGCGGATGTAGGCCTTGTCAGTCGCCATTTTGTCATTTTGATCGCCATTTTGCTCTTCTTTGCGAGTTGCAAAAGCTGTCTGCTGTTTGAAGTGTATTGACGCTCTGCATTTGGTTTGAGACGATTTGCAAGTTGTCCAGAACAATTGTTTGGCTGTCGAGTCGCTTTTCTGAAGATTTCACGTCGATCTTTAGATCTAGAATCTAGTATCTTTGTCTTCCAGAGATCCATTCGTTCCTGAGCTGAAGGAGAAGAGTCCTGCCCTCTCGATCTCTTTGTCTTTGCCGCCGCCATGGGGAATTCTTCGTCTCTTTTCACCGCTGAATCGCTACTTCGTCTAGGTGAGCGTCTTGACTTGGAGGAAGGCCAGTTCTATGGCCTGGAAGGAGAGTACATGTTCTGTGGATTAGAGGTGAGAAGGGATACTTACTTAGTCGGTGTGGATTGTGAAGGAAACCGGTATTTGATTGAGGTAGATAAAGCTAGAGATAGTCAAGGTGACCCAGTTGTCAATAGATTGGCCGCTGGAGGGCCGGAATGGTACAGTGACTGGTTGAGGCGGGTGGCTGGAAGAGAGGTGAGGTGGATTAGTGGACCTAGGAGTGGAGAAGTGATAGTTCTCTATGATGTGCTGTGGAGGAAACCGATGAAGGGATAGGACAAGATGATGGCTAAGTGATAAGAAGATCACTGAGTCTGAGTCAGAGTGATGGACTTCTGTACTGTATTGTAGGCTGTGTGGCAAGTGTGTGTTTGTCTGGGTCCGTGTGTTGTTTAAGTTTTATTCTATTCTAGATCTAGCGATGTGTGTGTATGGTTTTAGGATTTTTGTATTTTTGGCTTTTGCCCACCTTCTAGATATCTATATCTAGAATCTAGATCTAGAATCTAGTGTATAAACATGCATGTCTAAAGTCCAGTCAGACTGTTCACTTTTAATGGTTTTTGTGGGGATCTCTCTTTGTGTTTCTCTCTTTCTCTCTCTCTCTCTCTCTCTTTCTCTCTCTCTCTCTCTCTCTCTCTCTCTCTCTCTCTCTCTCTCTCTCTCTCTCTCTCTCTCTCTCTCTCTCTCTCCTCCCCCTTTCCCCTCCTTCCTCCTCTCTACTCTCGCTCCCCCCCCCTCTCTCTCTCTCTCTCTCTCTCTCTCTCTCTCTCTCTCTCTCTCTCTCTCTCTCTCTCTCTCTCTCTCTCCCTCCCTCCCCCCCTCTCTCTCTCAGGGAATTGGCTTGTCCATGACTTGGATTGGAACCTGCAGACATTTTTTTCTTTGTCTTTGTTGTAGAAAGTATGGATGAGTGTGTTGTTACTGTGTTCATCATCTTAAAATAAGTAAATGTTTGAGTTTATAATTCATTAGATTTAAAGGTAAGACGCCATATAGTATAACCGGTAATTTGTGGTAGGAAGTGCGCCAGTCTCAATAGGATTCACCTTCTTTACAACCCGCTAACACCGACCCTTTGTTTGTCTCTTGTCATATATAGCCAGTCAAGTAGGTATTTATTGCTGATCATCAGTTTTATTAGTTGTAGCAATGGAAAAAGACAATTAATATTTTTAGGGGAAGAGGAGGGAGAAAAAGACAACTGTAGGATTAGTAGGAATTGATAAGGGAGGATATATCCGTAACGAGCGACCACAAGTATGAGAGAGAGTAGAATAGAGGGCTAGGGTAGGAGTAGGGTTAGGGGTTGGTCTCTTCTTTGTTGTGTTTGTTGAGGCTGAGGTGGTCGCTCGTTTCAGAAGTCCTTCCATTGATAATGAGGAGAGCTGAGATAGATTTAACTGTGGGAGTTGTGTTGTTTTTTAGTTTTCTTATTTAATTTATAAGCTTGTTTTTGAGGCTGGTGCTTTGAAAGGCATGGGGTGGTGGGGCTATTCAGTCTGAAGAGGAAATTGGGTATGAGGGGTTGGGTGTCAAAGGGGAAATGACGCTCAATCCCTCATAGTCGGTGAAGTCAAAGACGTAGTCTCAGGAGTCAGAGAACCAGGTAACACTGATAGTGGCAGCTCATTTTTTGGACAGGGCAGTTTTTGAAGGAGTTGAGGGAAAGGGGTGGAACACATCCACGAGCCACTTGAAATTGAATATTTTTGTATTTTTTTTGAGTAGTTGATATGAAAAAGGTGTTCTAGTTTTAAGAGTGTGGGCTGTTAATTAAATTATGGCTGAAAGTCCAATATTGTTATCAAATATATGACATTTCAGGGGTCAAGGGGGAACTGACCTTTGACCTTTCATATTGGGTTTCAGTTTTGGAAGGCAAGGGAATCCAGAATGCCTGTATTTGGTGTGACGGGGTAGGGTAGTGGGCCGATCTTTTTCGTTTCAAATGATGGCAGTTTTAAATTTTGTGTAAAGGCTTGATGATTGGGATTTTTGGTTTACTTGGCTGGCCATAGTGTAGAGACAAATGTGTATGTATATATATATGTGTGTGTGTTGTTGTTTTGCATGGTCCATGCCCCTAGAGTAGATCCCCATTAACATAGTCACCAGTAGATGAGACTGAGCGCACATATTTCGGCCTATTTTTTTGTCTGGTGACGATTAACTAAATTTGGTTTGCTCCACTAGGGAGTGGGAATGTGGGAAAGTGCCCGCCTCGTGACTCTTTGGGAGCAGAGGATGTTAGGATATAAAATACTTTAATATTATCGTACTATTTGTAGTTCGAGTTCTGTGTGTTTGCGATTTTGTGTTGTCTAGCATTTGTAAGGTGTTGTTTGTTTTGTGCTTACTGTAATTTTGTTCTTAGTACTGTGTACCTACTAACTTTCTTCCCCTGGTTGTACTGATTATTATTCATGATGGCGTTCTTATAATAATAGATTCTAAATCAATGCAAGGAACGGGCACGGGACAAAATTATAGATTAAAAAATTATTTTGCTTCCATGATTGGCAGCGACCAGTAAAGTAGACAAGCTTCATTTCAACAGTTGTTTGCTTATTTCATGCTCAGTCATCTCATAGCTGCGCCTGTTGGCAAAGTACTCAAAATTATCATCAGGTAGCCTATCTTCTGTTTGCTTACAACTGTGCTCTGAGCACCAAAACACAAGAGAACACCTCTTTGCCAACATCAGCTTACCTGTTTCTCCAGCACCTGTGGTAACTTTGGACTTGACTTACATTAAATACCAAAAGAGATAAAAATAATGTTGTAACCACTTCTCGGAGAGATTCGTATAAAATTTGCATAAGTGTACCTCTCCAGAGCCTGCGGTCTCATATTTTTGCTCATGTCAGAGAGAGTCAAATGCTGTAGAAAAATTCACCAACCGTGATTGCAGATAGTCTCAAACAGCCAATACAGACACAGAGATCAGTAACGGTTGCTAGAGCCGGTGCAGCGTTCAGACGACTCGAAGGAAAAACATCTGAGAGCACGGAGTAGAGACCTCAGTCTGAGCACAAAGCTGAAGGTTTAAGACAACGCAGTGATTTTTGTCATTGTTCTCCTCCCTGTCAGTTTCACACCTTGCACTGTTTGGTCAAGTTTATTAAGAGATTCAGATATGTACAGGATTGAAGGTTACACAGTTTGTTTTTGAAACAGTACAGATCTGTTTGCTATGTTGAATAGATCTTAAAACTTTGAACAGTTTGAGTGTTGCTATATTTTGTGACTTTTTATTTTGTGTGCTATGTTTTGAAATGCAGAACTTTGTCCAAAATTGAGATGCAGAAATGATTCAGTGTCAAACTTCTTCGGAAGCAAGATTCTAAGAAAAGAAACTCCAGTTTAGGACAATTTAAGTGAACAAAATTTGCCTTTAGACTCTAGGTTGCCTTTGCCTTTGTTAATTTTGTTTAACATTTGGCACCTTCGATGTTTTTTTGCTGTGATTGATTTCATAGATCTTTTCACTGTGTAAAACGTCCACCTGAAAACAGGCGTTCCACCAGAGGACGGAGAGACACGTTGGACCGGCAAGAGAGGACGAGTCACCGGAGAGCCCGTCATGAAGCCGGAAGACGTGGTCACTCAGCAGACCTAAAGCCAAGACTGGCCTGAGTCGGATTTCCAGCAGAGACTGCCACAGTTCCCCTTCCCCATCCCCTCCCTTGCAGAAGTTGGAAGTACTGGGCCTCATCGTGGCGCAAGGGTGAACACCCTGTTCAAACCACACTACACGTGTCATGCTGAAACAGGAGCAGACTGTGTGGAGAGGTTTGAGCTGGGTGGCCAACACAGTACTACACTCACCAGTGTGAAGGATGAATGGAGAGTCTATAGGCAAGTGTGCAAAATGTGAGCTGTTGGATGTAGTTTGTTAGTGTGTTGAATGAAATCCAAACTTGAATTCTTTCGTTTTAAAAAAAAATTGTTATGTATTTCTTGTAAATAAATTGTTAAATCTAAGTTTTGACTACTACCACAACTAGTATTATCTTTTATGTTATGTATATTGGGGCTGGAAGTGTAACACTACCTGTGTTTTTAATGCTGTCCACTGTTTAATTCCCGTGACTGCCCAATAGCAAGGGAAATGACTCTTAACACGACTAGGTGAAGGACGATATAATAATGAGTTATTTCCCTTTGTACAAACTGATGAGATGGCCTGGGTTTTTTTTTTTATATACAGTCGAACCTGCCTTAATGGAAACCTGTGTAAAACGGAAAACTGTCTTAACGGAATATCCCTGCTCCCCCCTTGATATATTCCTCTTTAATTACCTGTATAAAACGGAAACCTGTCCAACGCAGAAACGGAAAGAAAAATCCGCTCCCTTCCGAGGGTTTCGCCTGTCTAAGACGGAAAATGCTTTGCCCGCTCAGCCCTTTGAAACAAAACTCGCAAATGTGGTTCCGCCGGCTCTATACTTAACGCTATGGTCATACCACTGGACGAGGAAGGGGAGTAGGGGAGCAATTTGGATGTTACCCCATCATGTGAGCCCTGATGTCAGTGTAGTATGGGTGTGAAATCTCACGACTGCCCGTCAGAGTGCTCGAGTAGCGAGCCACTGCGGAAACTTTCTTGGGTAGCCAGAAGCCAGAGGTGTGAAATTAGTTTGAACAATGCCTGCCGCCCTGATCGTACGGCCAGCCGAGAAAAGAGTTCCTCAAATCGTTGTTAATGGCAGTCAGGGGTGGCATTGGTGGGTGGAAGCAAAGGAGATGTTCAAACGTTTCTGCTTTTAATAGGTCAAACAGTGGTCCTATGAAAGGCAAGCACTGGTGGTAATGGGATAAGTCAGACTGACGCATGTCATTATCAGACAGGATAGCAGCTGAGAGGTGTGAAGTTTGACCACTGCTTGCCGATCGGACAAGCGATCCTTGATCTCACCGGCTGGGCCTTTGACACCCTTGACACACCCCCCCCCCCCCCACCAACATCCATCTCTCCCTAAATTCCCCTGTCTAAGACTGAATTTTTTTCTGGCTCCCTTGCGATTCCGTCTTACACAGGTTCGACTATATATATGCAAGTATGTATTTCTTGTAAGTAAATCTTTTGATCTAAGTTGTGACTTTGTATTCTAGCTGACACTGCCCTGTGCTCTGCTATCTTCAAACCTGGTCATAAATGAGACTTTCTTGTGGTGGTATAGACTACAAACCTGTAGGCTACTAGAAAAAAATTAACAAAGTTAAATAATTGATTTATGTGTTTTAAAATTTATTTATGTATTATTTGTGTTATAAATACTTTTGTATTGGCTATTCCGTATCACAACTTCTGCCTATCAAGGTACCAGACCTGCCAAGTGGTGTGATAAAATTGGGAATCTCCAACTGGCCAAAGATTCTTTGTTATAATAGAGGCACAAATCTCTACACAAAGTGACAAAGTCAGATACACAGCTGCCTGGTACACAGATAAAATTGGAACCCTCTAATTTTTTTTCCCCAGGAAGAATCCTGAACGGATTTGAACATAACCTGTTTTTTTTAAATTTCTTGATAGCCTTATTTATAATATGCAATTTGTGGTAAATTACGTAAATTCAGGTCCCGAGTCGGATCCCCATTCACGCAGGTCAAGTGTGTGTGCGTCAGTCTGCTTGAGTTTGTGTGCGTTTGTGGCCTTCTTCTAGAACCACCTACGTTGGTTCGTAATCGAGGCATACGTCTCATTCAAAACATGCCAAGTTGATAGCTCTAGATGTTCGTCCAATGAAATTATAGAAGAAATTGACCCACTTAGACATGAGGAGCTCGAAAGGATAGTCAGGAAACAAGACTTCCTTTTTTCTGTACAAAATATTTCAAATGAGCTTGATTTTGTATGAAATGATACTACCTGATAAAAAATGAGCTTGTTTGATAGTTTTGAATACCCTTGTGCAGGTACAAAGAACAATTTGAGTGTAAAACATTCGGAAATTGACATAAATTATCCCTTTTCGAACCTCAGGTCAGTCATAACAACAAGGGCGTCCAGAAAGGTTATTCAAATGGGCGTAACTACTCGTAATGTCTTATCAGCTTGTGAGAGGGGGTTATTCATGTGTTTGTAACACTTTATAAATAGAAAGCTATGAAGGATAGAGCATTATTTTCATCATCAGTTAACACACTCCCGCGGTATTCATGGCGAAAACACACGTTTCCCGGCGCGCGCGCTGTACACCAACAGTACACACTGAGTGACCCCGGCGGCCTGCCCGGCACGTCCGACGTAATCGGTTGCTGATAAGATACGCATCTTGGCACAGACGCAGGATAAGAGTTAAAGGCTCCTAGCTGGGACGTGTCAGGTCCAGATCTGTGAGGTACAAGACTGCTGGTCCACTGATGTTCTGTGCAGTCTCTCTTTTCAAGTGCTGTGAGGGGACGAGTGCGGCCGCTCCGGTAGTTCTGTTGGTCATGCTGGACTGTAAAGTAGTTCTGTTAGTATCATTGTGGACTAGAAAGTAGATGGCCTTGATTCAAGTACCGGGCTGGGCCTTCATGAACTCTGGTGTTTTGGTGGAGTTTTCAGAGGTCCCACCCCTTATATAGCCTTATAGTGTTAATAAGGGCATTGAACCCATACAACAACGTGATAAGGAAAAGATTTGAAACTATCCTGACTTTCCTCCATGTCACTGACATGGACAACTTTGTTCACAGGGAAGAGGAAGGCAGCAACCCCCTCCTCTAGATCTGTCCCTTCCTCAACAAACTTGCGGAAACTTTCACCACCAATGTCTACCCCCAACGTCAACATGGCTGTCGACAAAGGCACGTTGGCGTGGAGTGGCAGACTCGAGTCTTAGCTACCCAGTGTACTGCCCAGACAAGCCAGGCAAGTTTGGTGTCAAGATAATTCCAGCTCTGTGACTTCAGCAATGCCCACTGCACACTTGCCAAGTAGGCCCTACTCTGATAAAATTGGAGCCCTTCGATATATTTTTTTCATAATCTGTTCTTGAGCCCCAAGTGGATTTACACAAATCTGGGGGGGGGGGGAGAGGTTTTGGAGATAAATTGAAGTCCATTCCCATCAGTTATACGCAGCTTATTGTAAATGACAAGAAATTACGTTGGTTTATTTGCAATATTTTTCTGACTTACTGTAATGAAGTGAAAATACACGTTTTTATCTGTGTGTATTTACTACACTATTCTATAATGGTTTATTTGCTACTTACGGTATGTAATGTAAACTACCGCGGTTCTGGAGACTCCATTTTTTCCTTGTTTCCTTGACACATGACAACAATCCTGCAGACAGGGATCATCCAGCAGCAGACTTGCTTACACTTACAGATTTAACAACCAAGGACAATGCTGATGACAAGGAAAATGAAACTGATTCCTCGGACAGAGCGGTGTTGACACAACAAATGTTTTTTGCTTTAAAATGCACTTCATCTGTATCTGCAATAGAAATGTCGACTGTTGTGACCCCAGCACGTCACTGACTTCAGCACTTGACAGCCATGGAAGATGTAATGGTGATGAGCTGATGGAGAACTTAACAGACAACGATTTTAAACTTCTATCAACAAAAGTGGCGACATCTATGAGGACAGGAGATAGCTGGGAGACGCGGGCCCGGGGACTCTCTTGAACTCATCATATAGCTCACAGCTACTAGTATTAGTAACTACTGAGTTCCATCTAGTTGTGGAAACCTCTCTCCAACAAAAGCAAAAAACATTTTAATGGGCCTACGGCAGTCCTAAGCCTGCAAACCAACTCCAGTTGGGAACTCAGAAGGGAATGTTTTTTTAAATAACCCACCCCCACCCCAAAAGTAAAAAAAAAACCTCAACGTGAGTGGTTGGTGGGTGCTCTGGTGTGGTTTGTGCCTTCTTTCCTGTTAAACTTCTATTGTCCTTATACTTATAATATCTCTCGTATTCTTTGTATGTTACTCTCCAGTACTTACTTCCACTTTTTCTGTCCTATGCCGCAAGGTGTCGAGGGGAGGTCAATTGTTGGATTTATGCTAGGTGTTTTGATCATCATGCTGTTCCTTTGGAGGGTGTCTTTGACTTCGTTGATCCATCTTTTTCTTTTGCCATGAAGTTGAAGCCATCGAATGACAGTGGGTAGTTGACGGGTGCTCTGGTGTGGTTTGCTCCTTCTTTCCTATCAAACATCTATCCTCTTTATCTCCCCCCCTTCTTTTTTGTGTTTGTTACTCTCTTGTAACACCTTTAACTCACTGACTACGGATCCCGTCACAGGTCAGAAAATTCTGACATTTTAATCTAAATCAAAGTCTGTTTTGAGATCTGGGACCCACTTTTTGAAGAAGGAAGAGCGGTAAAGTTGTTGGTGTCAGTTATGTAAATTAATACCACCATACTCAACTGGTGGGAACTGGCAATGTGGTGCCATCTGTTACCGGTATGTAAAATCTATTAAATAAGAAATGATCTATATTTGAAGCTGTTGAAAAAAACGTCTCCCACAGAATAAGAACTCCTTAAGTCAAACAGTTTTGTTTTTGTTGCTTTTTTCTTTTTCTTCTGATTACACACAAAAAGATGCACAAAATGTCCATGAATTATAAGCATTACGTAATACGTTTTATTATTTTGATCCTACATTCGATGGTCACTATAGAGTGAAGTGAAAAAAGAAAAAGCCCTTCCTGTGAAATACTGTCAAAAGACTGGGTCCCTAAAGGGAAGGTGCTTCTGAAATGGGGCATTTTTTTTTTCAAATTTGCCGTATACTACTGTATACAAAAAACAACATTTGCTGTTATGTACAAAACTGAAACTGTCTTCAGTGTAATTGAGGGTAATGGTGAAGGATTTGAATAAGATTAGGACCATCATCCCTCTATGGCAACCTAGAAAAGAAGTAGAAGAATATTATTATGTGAAGGTTGCTTTTTCCACACTATTTGTAGGGAATATATGTAAGTTGCCTCATCTGGTAAGATTTTATTACGAAAGAAACTAAAGTTTCCTCATTTTTCGACTAATTAGTAATAATAGGGTTCAAATTTTGAATAATGTCGCCTTACAATACATGTACTTACCTTACAATACAACCATATTGCAACATTTTGTCAACATCACGTAAGTGTAGTATTAACAGCTTTTTTTTTTTTCAGGTGATTTTTTATAATACATTTTTCATTTTTTCTTTAATCTGTAAATGTAAGGGTAAGTAATGTGGCCCTTCAATAAAAAAAAAAAAATGTAGGGTCTGTTGAACGCTTGCATCGAGACATGTGATAGATTATTTTGGAGGCGGGCTATCTACACATTTATAGAATCATCTATCTACACATATATTATACATGCGCTCAATGATATTTCTCCCAGTAGAAAGACCAAGATACTAAATTGAAAAAATCCTCCCCACCCGAGAATCGAACATGCGACGACAATTGGCTTACCCGCTACACCACAGACAGTGGTCTGTATTGTGCTGAGGATGGGCAAAAAATGAAAATGCTGATTTGTGTGTGTGTTCTTTGAAAAAATAAAAAAATTTACTTGTTGATTTGTCTGTTATCTTCAGTGTTGTCGTTTCATTTTGTTTTTGGTTTGTTGCTGTTGTTATTCTTTGTTGTTCTTGGTGATGCTTTTGTGTTGTAAATAAAAGTTTTTTGTGGGGATTTTTTTTTCTTGGGGGGGGGGGGGGGGTCTACCCACTACACCACTAGAAGAAGAATACAGAATTGAGTGAGATGACTGCGTCCCTTCTTCCCTTTGCACAGGTTCATGGAAACGCACGCTCCGTATAAACCTGTCCCCGTGGTTTTATGCACCCCGCATAATTTAGCAAAATTTGATCATTTTTTGCATAATTTCTAATTATATTTATTTTTCTTAATCAGTCTTTGTTAAAGTTCCCTGAATTGCATACTTTCACATTTTTTGGGCTCAGTTTACATAATTTCAGAATTTTTCTTGCATAAAACGACGGGGACAAATGAGATGATACGAATGACGAGTGCTTTTGTTGGTACGACCCTTGCAGTATTTGACAATAAAAATAATATATTAGATACTACATGTCATATGTATCTTGTATACATCTTCTTGCATGACCTCATAATTTCTGCTTGGGTGGTTGGAGGGTGCACTTGTGTGGTTTGCTCCTTTTTTCCTATTAAACGTCTGTTGTCCTTTTCCCTCCTTTTTTGTGTGTTTGTTACTCCCTTGTCTTGTAACACCTCTAATCGGCACTTATATGACCGTATATTTTTGCAAGTGCCATAAAACTTTTACAAAATAAAAATTGCAGCGTGGAATGGGTAGTAGTACTAGTAGTAGGTTCACTAGGAATGTTTTTGAATCATGTGGAAATGGAAGCGTTTGTCGTGGGTCGGAGCAGTCCCTATCCAAAAATGATGTAGATGTAGAGATAGTACATAGGCTATACATGATGGTCGCTTTTAAGGACAAGAGGGCTAACAACCCAGATTTCGGGGGTTTCCAGAAATCTTGATCTACACAAAAAGTGGGCATTGCCCTACCTATGGGAGAAGTTTGGTTTCTCTGGTGTGTTTATATTTGTTTGGCTATAGAGAAAAACTCTCATTGTCTTTTAATTAAAGAAACTGAACAAGGAGCAAAAACGTTACCTTCGATTTTCTCAAAACAGCATTTTCCGGGAAAGCCCCCCTGTGTTTAAAAGCGACCATATGGCCTAGTATCGATAGAGGCATAAAACACCCAAAAGAATTAAATTGTAATTACAGTGGAGTCCACTTATAATGAGTCCTGAAATAACGAGAAGTCTGTTATAAAGACGCTATTCTAAAACCCGTTTTTTTTCCTTCTTTATATTTGTAAATAAAATACTGCTATTGCGCAATCAGTCAGTCACGCGGTCGGTTATAACGGAATATTGCTGCTGCTGTGCACAGCACACAGACCAATTGCACATATTATAAAACCTCGCCAGTTGAGAAAGTTGATCCAGCGAAACAAAGAATGGGAGAGCCCTAGTAAACCAACAATGAAGGCCGGAGTGAATGAATGGGGAGGGTGTGGCATGCGCAGACAAGCAGAACGCATCGTGTGATAGGCCAGCCCAGTCTAGATTTTCTAGGCATACCGAGCCTCTCACTTCTCTGGTGCGGGATGGAGAGGTAACAATGCTGTGATAGATGGAGTGAATGTGTGACGTGCGCAAGCAGACGCAACATACTGCAGGGTGTGGTGAGGTTGGGGACAACACAGCGGGCGAGTTAGCCTAAAGCCAGAGCCTCTTCTTTCGGATCGCCAACGCCGAACTGTCAACATTGCTAGTGCTAGAGAATAAAAACTGATTCGATTTTTGATCAAGTAAAACCTAGAGATCATGTTTGAACAAAATCATCATCAGGGGAAATACAAAAAGGAATAAACAGAACACCAAACTCATAGATTAGGTCTACTTTACTATTTCCCTTGAATTTATTACTGGATCCCTTATAACGAGAATCCTGCTATAACGGACATTTCGCACCGGTTCCCTCCCTCTCGTTATAACAGGATTCCACTGTATCATGCATGAAGACATTTTCCCCGTGGGTGGTTGGCGGGTGCTCTGGTGTGGTTTGCTCCTTCTTTCTTATCAAACACCTGTCCTGATCTCTCCTTTTTTATGTTTGTTACTCTCTTGTAACACCTCTAATCTTCGGCACTTATTTTGTGTTGCAATGCAAGTGCCGTAAAACTTACTAAGCATGCCTAGCCCGGAGGTGGGAGCCAACAAACTCGCTCGTGGTACAATCTGCCGGCGTTTTCTAAACCTGGACTGAGTCTGTGCAGGGGGAAAGAGGAAGAGAGACAGCAGCGGATGCATTTCCTGTCACTGTCCAGACCATATGTGGGACTTAGGCAAGGCACAAATTAATTGGGAAGAAATTATAAAAAGTTAAATTAGTCCTCTCCGACATGGAATCTATCAAATCTATAGTATAGTAGTCCTTGGCACCTATGAAATTTAACGTCTCCTACAGGTAGGCTAGGGCAATGCCCACTTTTGGCGTAGGTCAAGGTTTCTGGAAACTCCCGAAATCTGGGTTAGTCCGCGACCATACGTTTGTCTTTTACGTCTCAAACAAAAAAGTCAGGACCAGGTGAAGGTTGAAGGAATCGGCGAGTCAGCCGTTGGTTTTGGATAAATATTGATGAAACGGAATGTGAAAAACATTGGAACTCTGCGTCAACATGTAGATGTGCGTATATGTGAGTTATTGCAAAAAAAGAATTAATTTGCCTAAGTTGTATCATTTCCTTTATCTCTCTTGGGTTCTGCGAGTTAGTTAGCCATGTTATTTAATTGTTACATGTACTAGCAACAGCAATGATAATAATGATAATAATAATACTACTACTACTACTACTACTAATAATAATAATACTAATACTAATAATAATAAATAGTTCTAGTATGATGAAATAATAATGATAGGGATATAAATACTGTTTAAAAACTTTGATATCGATGGAATTACTGTAAATTATTTGTGAAAGATTTAATAATGATATTGATAATGATGACAAGAGCAACACAAATTCAAGTTAATGCTCACATCAATTAAAATAAACACAATGTTAATGAAAGTCGTAATTACTAACGGTATGGGAAATAATAACAAGAATGACGTTTTTGGTGATGATTGTCTGATATTGTGACGTTGATGATTACAGCAAAGAAATATAATTTATATCGCATCATTTAACGACGCATCTGTACCCCACCCTCCTTCAACCCCCTTTCTTCCAACCCCCCAAACCCAATAACGTTTTAAATTTTATGATACATGTATTTATTAAATCATCTTTTAATGCAACCTTGTGAGGAACGACAAAGTCTAGTCTGCTCTGAGCTGGAACAATATTGAAGATGGATGCCGTGCGTTGCCCAATTTCTTCGGTTAATTGTTAAAATAATATACTACGCCCAACATTTTGATAAATTAAAAAAGAATGTAGTTTCATAATCTGTGGTGTCGGTTGCATGTGCTCAAGAAAAATTTGGTTGAAATTCGAAGTCTTATAGCGCTTTAGACTATGGGCTACTGGAATGTATGGCTGCTCTTTGAGTTCTCGTATGACTAGTCCATGAGTTGAATGTGTGGTTCCAGTTCCTGATAAAGTTTCCTCATTCAAGTCAAAATAGTCCCAACAGAAGTGAGTGATGAGGTTGTTGTCAGGCAAGATGGATGGGGGCAAACTACCTGAAGAAACCTGTATACTGTCACAGATGGCAGTTTCCTCTTCTAAGAGAAATTAGTGGGATACAGAATGTCCATGCCGGTTTAAGAAGGATATTGATAAGCTGAGTGTTTACTGTTGGATGACGGACACATATACCAATCATAATATATTTAGGCTTTTTCCACTCCTCTTTCATCACATTGTAGCACATGTCCTGACCTGTAGAAACAACTCTCCTGTGGCATCTTGTTGACTGTGGTTTTCCATTCTTGGAGTGTAAAGAAAGGAAAGGAATGTTGTTAATACTTGTTGAATCTGCAAAGTTTCTGTGCGCAGATCTGTGTCTGCTGAAAGCCAAGGTAACGTTTGACTTTCATTGCATCCATCAAGAACAGGTCGTCGTGTCACCTTTGCCACTTCTATAACAAGTCTCTCTTCAGAGGTCACATTTTCAAAGGCAACTCCGACAGCCTGCCCAGTTGAAATTTCGTCAGAATACACGAGATCACTTGTCCCAGAAAATCTCTGCCAGAAGTTGATCCTGGACTTGAAGTGCTTCACAAGTTTCTCCTCAACTTATGTCTTGTAGTACTTGTAAAACTCTGGATAATTTGTTTGCACGAAAGTGCAATACATCTCTTTCAAAAGACTAATCCTAACAACAAGGGCCAGCGCAATGACATGTTCTTCAACAATAAATCATAATGAAAGCGTCCTTTAGCTTAGCTCGCAACTGCATTCGTCGTAAAACTTCTACTAAAGCTAAGCTAAATGACGCTTTCATCATGATTTCTTGAGCGGAGCGGAGGCTGTAGACAAGCACTCTATATGAGACTTCGAAAGCGTCCGACACTACGAACACTGTCGCCAGCCTCCGCTCCTCTCCAAAAATCATAAAATTAGTGATGATGAAAGCGTCTAACACTATGAACTAATACTTCAAACATTGTCCGCAGCCTCCGCTCCGTTCCGTTCCAGACATCATAAAATGTGGGTGGTTGGCGGGTGTTCTGGTGTGGTTTGCTCCTTTCCTATCTAACAACTATCGTCTTTATCTCTCCTTCTTTTTATGTGTGTCACTCTCTTGTAACACCTCTAATCTTCGGCACTTATATGACCTCATTGTGTTGCAAGTGCCGTAAAATGATGATGAAAGCGTCCGACACTAAAAACTAATACATGCTATTACTTACATTGTCCACAGCCTCCTTTCCGCTCCACTTCTCACTTTGGTGAGTCAAACATGTCGAACGTTTTACGGGTTGTGAGGAGAGTCGGATGTGTGATTTGTTTGACTTTGACCGTGCTGCTGCTGCTGCTGCTGCTGCTGCTGCTGCTGCTGATGATGATGATGATGCTGATACTGATAATGATGACAATGACTTTTGTTTGTTTCCTTAATGGGCCGGGTGGACTCCACAAAGAGATCTTTGAGCGAGAGCGAGGCTCGTTTTCGGCTTCATTGTCAACCTACTTTCAGAGGCACCTCTACTTGTCCAAATAACTCCATTCGAATTGCCATTGTTCCTCGACATTCGAACATATGTTTGACATCCTCCGTGTCATGGCCGCATCTTTGGCAACGTGGGCTGAGCTCTTTATTTACAAAGTTCTTATACCAGGTCAAGCTCCAATGATGGTCCGACCGCAGTCTCGCTAGCTCAACCTGGTACCAGCAACATGTGATAATTTGTTCCTGCTTATTGGAGTACCCAGAATACACATCTTCCAGGTGCTGCTGCTGCTGCTGCTGCTGCTGCTGATGATGATGATGATGATGATTGATGGTGATGATGATAATGATAAAGGAAAAAGATAAACAGGCAGTTAAACGGACTTTATTTTTCTTTACTTTACTTTTCCGATCCAGCGGCCATCTGGGTTCTAACCCTTCGGCCTAAACTTACTTTAAAGTGACAACTACTCTTCCGACTAGTGGAATTGCCTTTCTCCAGTTTATACCATGTTTCTGTAAGCCAGGGGCGCACGTGGTCAGAAGAAAATCAAATGACCATATGCAGTTGCGAGCGCCGTAAAACCCTCTACTATTAAAAAAAACAACTATATAGAAAATCAAACGTTGCTTTTCTTCATCACAGAATATTAATTTGGAGTAGGAATCTGAATTCTCCTACTTTGGCGCGGTCACGACATATAGCCTATATGTGATGAATCCAGTAACGACGTTAAGTGGAGAGATATTTTCTTTTATACCACCAGCAAAGAAAGATTTTTGCGCTTTCTTGTCAGCGCCATTTTGCATCAGGTGCCAAAATAAAAGCAGAGCGGAGCGGATGTTGTGGATAAAGCTGTCCCCAGGGTTTTATGCACCCCGCATAATTTAGCAAAATTTGATCATTTTTTTGGGCATAATTTCTGATTATTTTCCTTATTATTCTTTTTTAAAATTAACAGAATCGAATAATTTCACATTCTTGGGCTCAGTTTGCATAATTTCAGGTTTTTTTTGCATAAAACCGTGGGGACACATAAAGACGATCTGCACAGTTCTATCCAGACATTTCAAGGTGGAGAGCGGAGTGGTGAGGAGCGGAGCTTATGGACACCTAGCCTAAAAAAATGTTGAAAAAAAGCTGGAAAAAAATAGATCTACTCACAATGTAGGAAAGAAAGTTAGGTTGTTGTTTTTTCTCTCCTTAATGTTTTTTCTTTCTAAGCTCAGCACATTTTAACAGCATGCTGACGATTTGATTTATTTTTTATGTAAACTTTCTCCCCGAACTTTCCTCATTGTCTGACGAGGAAAATACCGACTGCCCTGGGGTTCCAGTCTCCTAGCGTAGGTGTCCAGAAATTCTCCGACTCGATTCCTAGACGTGAAGTCTGCAAGAGGAAATGAGATGCTCCTTAGATTTTAGGTTATCTACAACTAACATCGATTGGTATATATAAATACACAATATATAATATACGAGTATTTACAGGCCTACAGTGGAGTCCACAAAAACCGAAGCGGTTTAGTAAGTAGCCAGGAAATGCGCCCTGAACTTAATAACCCCCCCC